AGTGATATACTTGTATTCCTGACTGGCCAAGAAGAGATTGAATATGTTGAGAAGCTTGTCCAAGAAAGTCTTCGACAGTTTCTAGGAGACAACCAGAAGCTAAAAGTTTTACCCATATTCTCATCTCTTCCATCAGAAAAGCAGATACAGGTGTTCATGCCACCTCTAACCGGATTTCGCAAGGTAGATTGTTGATGCATATTGGATTTCTATTAGGTAGGGTATTAGCTGGATGCCTTCAGATATTTATGATCGTTGACTTAGAATTTTTTAATTTGACTTAGAAGGAAAAACAAGTAATGACTCTCTCTTAAAGGCTGTCTAATATGGCATTTTACTTGGGCTATAATGTTTGTTCCTGGGTTTGATCTCCCTGGTTGAAACAGAGTCTACAAATAATGAGGTTATATTGGGCTGAGGTCCACTTGTCAAAAGAAATTCTACAGAAACTAGTTCGAACTGGCATATTATTAACAGTCATATAATTGAATTTTTGTATATCATGGTGACTATGCTGGTCTGAACTGAAGCCTATGTATATAAGCATAGTTAATGAAATAACAATGAGATGTAGGAATTTTCTATTTTAATGATTGCACAAAATTAAATTATGTGAAGATCAAAAGAATCGAAACCCTTAATTAGCAGTTGCATGTTAAGTACTCCAAAATTTGGTACCGGCTTATGATTTTGGTGAGTGCTTGCAACCAAGTTCACTCCTCTTGTTACTTGATGCTCTTGGAACCATACAAGGGTGTCAAAAAGAACAGGCAATGCATTGGATGAGAATCTAAAACATGGTTCTCTTGAATTTTTGTGACTTCCCAAGTGTGTCATGCATATTGGTTGGACAGTCTGCTAGACTTATCTTTTTTTCCTTCTAAAAGGATGCCGTGGTGTATGTACTGAATCAACCTCTGCCTTTTGGTTGAGGATGTCCCTGGTGATTGTGTCATGTATTTTAAGATGCTTTTGAATCATCTGGTTCATTTGTATGATCAATTTTTAAGTTGAAATATATTCTGATAGGCCAGTTAAATTTTGTGGTGTTTATTTCTTTGATCACTTTTGTTTTTTGTTGTTTGTCTTACATGACTATTGGAAATGGTATGAAGTGTGAGCTATACTTGTATGTTGGATGATCATTTCCTTGTGTGATGCACTATTCTAACAATTTCTGGTATCTATGTCTAGCACTAGTGAATATGCTTGCTTGTTCTGTTTAGGTAATACTAGCAACTAATATTGTTGAAACATCCGTAACAATACCTGGAATCAAGTATGTGATAGATCCTGTATTGGTGAAAGCACGCACCTACCATGCTCGTATAGGGATGAAATCATTGATTTTTGTTCCAACCTCAAAAGCACAGGCTTTGCGAAGGAGGTAGGCATACTGGATTACTAAAGCACAGAAAAATCCATGTTATATTTTACTGATTTCATTTACTATTTTGAATAAATTGTCCTCCTTAAAAAAGAGATCTACTTATGTTCGGAGCTATCTTTTTCATGGAGTGGGTGGGTGGGGGAGAGTACGCCTAGGTTTACGAACTTCATCATATAAACAGGCCAAATGATGTGGATTTTGTTGTATTTACCCAATATTCCTCCTGTATATTTGTTTACATTTTTCATTGACTGAATATAAACGAATTTTAATCTCATGCCTGCTACTTTATTTCAGTGGACGTGTAGGCCGTGAAAGACCAGGCAAGTGCTTTTGCCTCTACCCTGAGATTGAATTTGAGAAACTCAGGGATTCTACAATTCCAGAGATTACACGGTGCAACCTTTCAAATATCATTTTGCAACTAAAGGCTCTTGGTGTTGATGATTTTTTTGGGTTTGATTTCATGGAAAAACCATCAAGGTGGAAAAAAAAGAATTAAGTCTTGTATTGGTTTAGCATTTTACTCATCGTTTCACCGATGTTTATTTGTGCATGCATTTTTGATGAGTTATTTTATGCCAACCTTACTCAGCCCACTAGATTGTATGAACAAAATTAAATTGAAGACAGAGAAAGCTTTCTGGGTTTGTAGTGAAGCAGGGAAACACAAAATGAAAGGGTGTATTTCATGGCTCTGAGTCGATACTTTTGACCATTAGCAACTAGGTTGTGAGTGATTTCCATGAGTGATTGGTAACTAAGCAAAGGAAAGCCAAAAGGGGTGGTGTTAAACCAGAAAGAAAAGAACAAAAGATTTGTAATCATGATTTCTTTCATAATCTATTTTTTATTATCCTCTCCTGTTGTTTGCTTTCTCGAGGAACCTGCACTATCTACCATAAACTTTTGTTTTTTGACATTTACTGAATGCTCATTTTTATTCTTGTGGAAGTGCTGTATAATTAGTGGAAGGAATTTATTGCCGTCAGTTTTACAATTTGAACAGGGATGCTGGCATCAAATCATTGGAGATACTGGTCTTGCTAGATGCTATAGCAGAAGAATATAAATTTTCGAACCCAGTTGGGCATCAAATGGCCCGGCTTCCCTTAAAGCCTATTCATTCCAAAGCACTCATCTTGGCTAGTCAGTTCAATTGCCTGGAAAAAATGTTAGTAACTGTTGCAATGCTCTCGGTGGAATCTATCTTTTATGCTCCTCATGAGAAGTTAGAGGAGATATGCATTCATGACTGATTTGTAATGCATTTATGTAGCTAGTGTTCATGAAGCTGCTTGGGTCATTCAATAAAGTGATCGTAAGTTTTTTTATTTGCCTTAGCAACTGGAATTGATTAACTATATTATAAATAGAACCAGAGGCTTTTCGATTTTCAGTCAGTGAGATGATTCAGTATGGGAAATAAAAACTAAATCAAATTATGATGGATACTTTGAACAGTAGAACACAAGATGAATTTGTCCTTGTAGACCAATTACGTGAAAGTTGTCATTGTTAAGTATTTTTGCTGTTTGTTTCTCCTCATCTATTATTCATCATGATGAGGTTTTGCAGGTCTGTCACCTAGTTAATCTAATTGATGTGATCCCATTCTTTTTTTTAATGTTTTTTTTTTTGGGTGAGAGAGAGAGAGGGAGAGAGAGAGAGAGTGGTGGTGGTAAAGATAGAGATAGAGATAGAAAGAGTATTCAATTTGGAAATCGAGTATTCGCTACATATTTTTCCCTTTCTGGTTAGGCACAAACTGCAACAAAGTGCTTCTCTAGTCTAGAGGGAGACCATCTGATTTTCACAAACAATTTGGTGCAAAAGAGCTACTACAAAAAAACAACCTACAAGAAATCAGCATTTTAGGGATAAATTTATTCCTTCCCTAAAAGTATAATATTTGTTGGGAAAAACTTCCGTCGCGAAGTTTGTCCGAAATGGCCTGTTTGGAAAAGTCAAAAAATGACTTTTAGAGACAAAATTTTGCATTTGTCACTATAAATAGACTTTTAGAAACAAAAAAAATGTGGTTGCAAAAAGTTTTGATTTTGAGACAACCAAAATTTGTCTCTAAAAGTCTAATTATAGTCCACCAAGCATAGTAATTATGGAGACAAATTAATTTTTAAGACAATATAAATTGGTCTCTAAAAGTTTAGTTTTTGGGACGAATAAAAGTGGTCTCTAAAGTCTTAGGTTGCGTTTGGTTGAGTTTTATAAATATGATTTGAGAGGATGAGTTGTATTTTAAGTTTGTGAGTTGTGGAATTATGATTTGAGTGTAGAAAATTTGTTTGTATTTGTAATGGTTTTTGAATAGAGTGTTGACATTGAGTGGTGGAATTGAGTTTGAAAGTTTGATTTTTGACATTGTGAATTAGAAAAAATTTGTTTGGTTGAGCTTTTAGAAAAGAGTTTCAAAAAATAAATTCAAATGTCATAACTCATAACAAAACACACTACTTTCACAATATGTGAAAATTTACTAATTCAAACTCAATATCCAAACTACTTTGTTTAAAATTAAAATTTAAAAATTATTATTAAACAGAAATACATTCCAATTACAATTATTTAATTGAAAATAACTACAAGATATAATTTTTTTTTCAAAATAATATTTCAAAAAATTTAAATCATAAATACTTTAAACTTATCATAAAAATTTTAATAAGTTAAAAAATTTAACAGATAAATATTCAAAAAATTTTAAATCCGTAAATTTTATAAATAATTCTAAATCATTCAAAAAAAATTAATAATTTAACAATTGTTAATATTTTTAAAATTTTAAAAAAACAACGTTCTACAACTCAAAATCGTAACCAACACATAAATAAAACTCACATTAAGAAATTATTTTTAAAACTCATAACCAAACATATAATCGAAACTCCATACTACTTTCACAACTCTACACTCAAATCATAACCAAATACATAACAAAAAAAATTAAAATATTTAAATATTTTTATAAAATAGAGTTTGAATTTATTTTTGTAAAATATTTTAAAATTTTAAAAATTAAAATCGTAATATTTTGAAATTAAAATATTTAAAAATATTCAAAAAATTAAAAAATTAAAAAAATCATAACATATTTAAATATTAAAATATTTAAAATATTCAAAAAATTAAAATATTGATTTGAATTGAGTTTTGAAAAGAGTTTTGAATTATGTGTTTGGTTATGAGTTTTGAAAAGTAATGATTATGTTTTGAATTGAATTTTGAAAAATTGGTGTAAAATTATGATTTAGAAGCTCAAAACAAACAAAACACTAAAATCAATGGGTAGAACTATAATTCGAAACTCTTACCAAACGGAGTCTTAGTTTTTGGAACAAATGAAAGTGGCGTGTAAAGGTTACAATTTTTTTGAAACAACTAAAATTGGTCTCTAAAAGTTTGATTTTTTTTTTCTTTTTTGGGTAACAATTACTCTAAAAGTACTAGTATGAACATCAACTTATAGTCCTTTTTTGATTTCTCAAGAACCAAACAGAAAATATCAAATATATCACCAAACCATCTATTCATCTCCAAATTAAAATTCAACTACACGAAGAAAAAAAAAAAAATGCTCATCACATTAAAAGAGGTTTAATCAAAAGATATTTCAATAACAAACAAATATCACGCTCCGATTCATTAGTATGTAATATCTTGATTGTATATCATAAACTGACAGAGATTTCAAAAGTATCATTTCCAATTTATAAAGCTAGTGCCATAAGCATTGTTTGTAGCATTCAACTATTCAAACAACAAATTGTAATTGGACTTATATCTACATAACAAAACAACTCAACACATCGCATCTTCTTTTCAATGGCTTCGTTGAAATGGCATTCAAAATCTAGCATAGAGCTCCCAAGCTTCAAATTGACGCAAGCTTGCAGGACCTGCATAGAATAGGCCAAACTCTCAAATAGATTATTACCAATTAAAAATTATCCAATGATAGATTAATTTAATAGATTGCAATTTAATGGCAGCATCAACACATAAATCTTAGTACACAAAGCCGCCAAAAAACCACTATCAATATTCAAGAGTTAACAAAGATTAAATTAAATCAACTGGCTACAAAAATTTGAAAATAATTACTCCAAGATAGACAGTTTACATTGATGTTGTAAAAACAAGATGAAGAATGGTTACCTTGCATGGTTCATAGTTGAGCTCAACATTGTTTAACTGACATGCTTATACAGGGAATTATAGCTAATAACATTGGATGATTGATACATGATATAAAAATATTTGCAATCTCTTCTATCTGGTGAGGAATCCATGGGATTTTTAAAAGCGAAGTCTAGGATCACAAATGAAATGCCACAAAAACCTTTAATCTTTCATTAATTCTTAATACCAAGACCCAATCTGCCACATCATGACCACAACATTAGCAAGACAACAAGACAAAGTAAATGAAATATAACCAGACAATTCACTTATGTACTAAGCTAAACCACATTAAAAACTTCATTTTCCACTTCTGAACACATCCCCTCTAGATCTATTATCTACTCCAAGTTCCTGTACTCATTCCATATGCAACAATCATAATTCACACCCATTAACATCATTACATTCATTGGCTACTAGCTACAGAAAAAGGCGAAGGCAGATTTCAATTCCAGCAGAAATATAATAGGATTGTACCACCAAGAAGTTCTTAATAGCAGAAAAAATCCAAGCTGCTAATCATAGAACTTAGGGCCTAAGAATTACTAATTTGCAGAAAACGAATTAACAACAAAAACAAATAAGCCACGAATCATATTGGGGGCATTCAATAACAACAAACACGAGAAGCATAGAACACATGGACAACTTTTGTTTTCAAAATAATACACCATGCTCAACAAATTGTTCAGATGCAGACATGAAGAGGGTCCTAATCTCACCTGACTCCATTTGAACATTATCATCTGCTGTAGGATCACTAGCACCTGCTCCCATATCAAAGAGTTCAACTCTCTTATTACCAAGGCTGCTCACATACCTGCAGACCCACCAAATAGAAAAAAATACAGCTTGAAGGTGGGAAAACACAGAAGACAGAGACATCATAGATAATCACAAGAACATAAAATCAGTCACAAAGATAATGCATTGCCACTTTCAGCATCTTAAGTAACTCAACGCTTCAAATCTAAACACGTTTTGAGGCTATGTCTAATAACAAATAATATTATGATCCAAATGCTTGGTTTCATGAATTTTCTTTTTAATGAATACTGCATTGGTGGTTGGCTAGGAAGGGAGACACTCATTTAACTACTGGTCTTGACAACAACAAATTTGAACACAAGATCTCACAAGAAAATCGATGATCTTAAACAAATGAGCTTACGTTTTTCTCAAGGCCACATGAATTCAGCTCATGAGATTTTCTATTCTAATTTACAGTTATTGAGGAAGAAAACCATGGAAGAATACTTCAAGCCAACTGAAGCAGAACATAGTGCAGACAAAGAAAATGTTTTCTGGATTTAGTGTATTAGGTTAATTTTATCTATAAACTAATAAATTCAACTCAATGATCAGCATCAACTGTTGTAAACTTTGTTTTGCTTTGTTACAGTAATGTATATCAGTAATAAATTGTTTCTTTTTTTTTTTTTTTGCAGCCTCAGAAAGTTCAAAATTTTAATAATTACAAATTGATTTGAATAAAGTTGTGAACTGATGAGAATCTCTATCACAAAATAGTGGCCCCACAGTTTTTGCAATCTTTGATTGATCTGTGTGGTCAAGAAATTTGACAGTAGGGACAATAGCTTCTCAAAAATAATTTAATGGATGTAACTTTCATTTGAGAAGAGCAAGGGATCAAAATCAAAGGTCTAAGGGCATTCTTTCACTTCAAGGAAAATGATTAAGCACCCAGATTTGACATCGTAACAATACTAATTGACAGAACCAATTTTTTTTTTTTTATCAAAATCAAAGGTCCAAGGGCATTTCTGGCTTTAAATTAGATGTTTAACATGCACACCACACAATTTTGACTTTTTTATTTTAATTCAATTCACACCACTGTATTCTTATATTGCCTTCATCATCAATCTTCAAACCCCAACTCTAACTCATTTCTAGCATCTCCATTAGTGCCGCCCCAACCCAACCCCATCCTGTCACCTTCTCCTCTGCCACCCTCTCTTTCAATCTGAAGAGGCAACCTAATGATAATTGGTTTCTATCAAATTGGAGACTCCCTATCT